AAGAGCTCGTGATTTAATTCTGTTCCGCAGACGTCGTGCACGTCTCCATGTAAGGAATGAAATACAGGAACCGGTGCTACCAAATAGTAGTTCCCAGTCATATACGTTTTTTGCCTTGGCAGGTAATTTGGCATAAATTGTTAATGTAAATCCAGGTTAGTGGGGAAGACATTATTTTACTAAAAAAGATAAACTGCTGATTAATTCAGTATAGAACTCAATTACAAATTGAAAGTGTCTCTGCGGGATGCCAGTACCCTAAAGACAGCAGATGTTGAATTGATACTCCAGCATATTTCACACTGGTATGAAATATTAACGTGGTTTATTGTAGTGGTGTGCAGTGCTGGGAGGAGGAGCTGTGATGAGTCGGTGCTTGCAGGCGGCCGCACCGATGGAACAGGAAAAAATGGAGTTACTGAGAATGGTAATTAAGGACTTTGGTATATTTTATTTGAAAAGTTCTTGCAAGAACATTTAGGAAAACAAACATTTACTGTAACACATAACTGCGTTACAGCAAAGCACATCAGCTGCAGTGCAGGTCACCAACCCATTGCTGCGCCTCAGCAGAGGCTGCAGTGGTGCGGCCGCTTCTGGGGCAGCTTCCTGGTCTCTAACAGCTGCTCAATAGTTCTGAATACTCCTATGGATGATATTTGAAGGCACATCTTTCTTTACAGATTCTGGTTTTCACAACAAGGCTTACTTTGTGGCTTTCCAGAGAACCAATGGAAGATGATGGGGGAAGGAGTAGGGAGAAGCTGGAAGGACAGACCGCTTCCAGGTCGTGCTCACTGTCAGAGATGAAGGGAAAGCAAGCTGTTTGATTGCCTGCTTGTACAAAACACATTCATGAAACAGAGTTTATAATTCATCTGCTTACGAGGTGCTGCTTGGCACCTGCATTATGGGGAAGGTGAAACCTGCACAGCTGAAGGGACGCAGCCTATTCCAGCTCAGAACAAACCTGTTCTCACTCAGTGGACTCTTTGGGTGTTTCCTTACAAGTGAGAAAGCAAAGTGCTTTTCTTCTCAGTTCTGTTCCCTCTTCGGAGTTAGCACAGATTTTAGCATTGCTTCCAGTTATGTATTGATCTCTACCACAATTCTTCCCTCCAGACAGACTTACACATCCTCTCACATGCTGCAGCCTGCCGATTACTCTTCCAAAGTCTAATTATGCTTCTGTAGGTGTTTATGTCCTTCAAGAGGTATCGCATTCCCAGCCTCCAATTCCTACTCTCCAATTCCCACCACTTCTCTATAGATTTTTTTATTTATGTGTATTTATTTTTAACTATCCGAGTCCTTCCCGAAGCTTCTGATTTCTTTTCCTTCCGGCCTGCCAGCCCAGGGGACTCTTCCTTTAAGTAGGATGAGTGACAGAATTCAAACAAATTTCATTCTGCTGTAAAAGTCAGTTTTTATAGTGGCTTTTTTTGCACCCTATGATATTCACTGTGTACTGATATTTCAAATTCTTGATGAGGCTCAGTGCTGGAGAGCAGCATGGCCCATTGGATACCCAGAGGATACTGGTGACCTGCAGAAGGCACTCATTTGTTTTTGGTAAGATTTTTTTTTAAATGCTTTCTACAGTTTTAAATCTGGAAAAGATGTCTTGTTTGACTTGCGAAGTTAGAGAAGTGCTGCTGGTGAAGCAGTGCAGCCGTTCCCTTCACTGCTGTAGGCAGCGATTAACTTGTGTCAGAGCTGCTGGCACAGGCTGCAGTAACGTGAGGTAGAAATATCCACATCTGCTGTAGTCTGTTCCAGTAGTATTTGAAATCTGGAAATTGCTTAAGTGAGAGGAGAAACTTGATTCAAGTCATATACAAGAGTAATGTGTAAAAGTTCCTTATTGGTGCTGTTTGGGACTTGTGCCGTGGCAGCAGTGGAGAGGTAATCCATCAGTTCTGAGCGTCTACAAAATGCAACTCTCCAGATAACAGGTTTAAAGTAAAGATTTAATACAGCCTCTATCTACTATGATGCTGCAGTGACAGTTTAAAACTCATTCTCTAAATCTCAGCAGACTTTATAGCTAGCAGTGGGCCCATATAAAGCTTAATGGCATTACAACACATAAATCATCTTTTAAAGATGCTACCAGTAGCTCCAATATTAAATGCAGACAATTGTCTGTGTTATAAATAATTTATCAAACACCGTTTCAGATTGGCCTTCCACGCTGAGTTATTTATTTTAGCCTTTACTGTGCTATTCCTAAGGCACGCTTTGAAAGATCCATTACTGGTCAGTTTAATGAACTTGGGGTCTGCATTTCCCCCTCAAGTACTGCAGTGCATCTGTGGTGACCATTACATGGCTGATCTGGACCTCTTTGCGCCTTTTACAAGTGCTGCCCGTTTGTCATGGAGTGGTAAATGGAGCTGCACATTGGAGTCCTGGGACACATTGTGTGATGCAGTGATGGAGACAAACAGATAGCTCCATAAAGCGCTGCTTGTCACCGCTGACTGGTGCTGCAGTACATCACTCTTGCTGTAATCTCATTTAAGAAGCAGCGTGGACCCGAGAGAATGATATTCCCAGTTAGCTTGGTCTTTGCAGCCGTAAAGCAGGAAGTGCTCCTTTTATATACTCTGAACTTTTAGGGTTTTTTAAGATTAATTATTACAGTGACTCCTTCCTGCCCCCGTCCTCAGGACTGTGTCAGCACTTTTCCAAGGGCCCCCTATTTTCAGACTGTAAAGCAGCAGTCTTTGCTGGAACTTTGTATGCAGGACCTCTATGAAGGATTTCTTATTTTATTTTTTTCCTCTCGTGGCTATTCTGGTCATCTTTCTAAATTATGGAAAGGGGAGGAAAAGTAAACAGCTCTGTGGCAGGGTTTTCTATAATTAAAATTACTCCGGGTTCACGAGCTGGGCAGCACTCCATCAGATCAAAGAGCTGAGGTGACATTTTGGGCTGTGCACCGCAAGGCAGCAGGGCTGCAGTGTGGGGACAGCTGAGCTGTGGTGACTGCAGCTTTGGAACTATTTTGATAACAGCAGACTGACAGCACGTTCTAAAAAGGAGAAAAAAATGTGGTGAGATGACACTGCAAGATTTTTACGTTGTTCTAAGAAAAGATTGAATTAAAGGGGGATGAAGCACCCACCAGCCTGCTGTGCTTTTCCTGTGCTGCGCTTTTGCTGTGGTGCTTCTCTTACGCTAAGCTCATAGAATGGCATAGAATAATTTTGGCTCTGCCATCAGTTAATTTTAAAAATGAGTTTACAGCCACCTCGCTGCATGGAGCTGTTTGCTACGTGTGTCGTGCTGTGGCACCAAAGCACGCAGAGCAGCTCTGCGGCCGCAGGACTGAGTTGTGCTGCACAGAGCTGTCCTGCAGCCGCAGTTTCTCCTGCACGGCTGGTTGGCTCGGCTGGAAGTGCAGTCTGGTGGTGGAGGTGGTTGGTGTTTGAGGAGCGGGGCTGATAGAAATGGATGCTATTTCTGTAGTTTTGCAGAGAAGCCCCGCTGCTGGTCAGTACCTTAATTAAGCTGTCAGAGGAGCATTGCTGCTATTAACGCTCTTGCATAGCAGCTGGTGCAGAATGTGGGTATGTGCTGGCAGTGGTTGGTGCTGAGGCTGAGCCGGGTGCCACTGCTGGGTGCCCCATGGCTCTGTGCCCCGACACTGCTGCTCTGTGCATGGATGAGGCCTTTAACATGAGGCAAATGGAGGAACTGTGGTGGTCAAGGTGATGCGGGACAGCTGCTGTGCTGCTCTGTGCTGCTGGCAGATGATGACTGGGATGTGGGAGGGGATGGGGTAAAGCCAGGGCCAGACCTCTGTGCTTCTGGACTGCATTCAGCCCCGCTGCTGCCCACAGCAGACATGCATGCTCTGCGTGCAGCCCTGCCAGTGGGCTGCCTTCATGTGGCTGCACAGCACTTCTGTGGCAGCTGAATAGATGCCATGGGAAGGTGGTTTTGCAGCATTTCCTTGTGCTCGCTGTCATCGGTTATAGTGTAAAATTAAGGGCACTAGCTCTATCAGGCGGTTTCAAATATTGCTGCATCTGACCTATGACTTTCAGCAAGTTGCTTCTGAAATGAAAAGCCCTCCTTGGGAGCTGTAGAGGGAGCCACTGCAGCTGGAACAGCCTGGGCCAGGAAAGGGCTTACTGGGAGCATTAGAACCTGCCTGCGGTTTTGGGGATGGGAGAGTGACCACAGCTCTTCTGCAACACTGTAACTCAGTTTTGATGGTTCTGAAATACTTCTGTGTAGAAGACATTAACCTGGATGTGACTGTCTAACATGTTCTGTCCTGCTTCAGACTATGTAGACAGCTTCTAAACAGTGAAAACTAAGAATGGTAACCCCCCAGTGTGCATATTTCAGCTGCTGTGTGGCTGCACTTTTACAAGAAAGCAGCTGATACAAACCTGTTAGAATGGGAACTTCGGAGCTTTTGTTGGTTCGGTCAGCACCTGCCTCTAAATTCACTGCACTTCCAGTTCAGGACTGGAATTAGAACTACTGGCTGCTAGGATGCCTGCAGCACAGTTACTGTTAAGATGAGCAGAATGTATTTTGCAAACCATGCTATATTCCAAAATCATATAAATAATTTTGGTACTACAAAGAAGGACTGAGTTGTCCCTGCCTGGGGAAGGCAGTAACTGAACTAGTATGGGTCTTTACCTTGTATGCAGCTGTACAGGGAGCACGATAGGGAACCTGTATATGTGTGCAGAAACCCTGACGATAAAACCTACACGTTTAATTTCTCCATTAATTGAGACAAAAACCTTGTTTCCTTAACTGTCTTTACTAAATTGGATTTGTCCATTGTAAAGGGAAAAGAGGTGGGTAGTGAGCAGGAGGAAGGCAGCCCACTGCTCAGTATGCTGTTGTTCAGCTCTGTAGTGCTTATCTCATTTATTGTTGTGAGAGCTCACAGCTTCCACTGTCACATGGACAAACATTTCTGTGAAATGCCAACACTTGTGCAATGACAGCTTTCTTAACTTGTCCAGGAAGAAGAAGCCAAACAGCTTGTGAGGGATGCCATTGCAGCTGGCATATACAATGATCTGGGCTCTGGCAGTAACATAGATATCTGTGTTATAAGCAAGAACAAGTTGGATTTTATCCGTCCGTACGACGTGGCCAACAGAAAAGGTGAAAGGTTGGTATTTCTGAAGCTGTGCACTATCCAAGGCTATTCCCAGCAGTTCCTATTTCTCATAGTGCCGAATTTGGGCACAGTCAGTACATGCTACATCAGTGTGCTGAATTTCAGCTAATGAAGAAAATAAAATTAGTGGCTGCATTTGGCAGGTGAGTAGAGCCTTAGTGGCATCTACAGGTAAGTGAAAGAAATTAATTGCCTGTCAACTCTTTATTGCCTTTGGAATTTCAGGCAGTTTGAGAGTGAAGTTTCACACCTGGGCCTGAGTAGAGGCTTACCCACTCCATGCTTTTATGTTCTCAGTGTTGATTTCCCATATTTATTGAAATGACATCATTCTGTGACTTGTTAGGACAATTATTTTGGATCCTGAATATTGATAACACAAAAACCTACTGTGGAACTTGTTGGGAACCAAGGTTCCATTTAAATACATAACATGGGCTTGTAACACTGAGAATAGTCAGAGTAGAGAAGTGCTGAAATTCTGAAGTGAACAAACTCTGACTGTTAGCAGAGCTGACAGTATTGCCTTTAGATGCTCACAGGTTGTATTGGTGAACTGCATTGCCTCATCAGTGAAATCACAGCCCTCAGGGCACTTAACATAAAAGTAAATGCTGCACATAAAGATTTTGCAGTAAGTTGTGCAACTTTTCACTACTCTTCTACTGCCAAATAGAGTTCATTGAAATCCCTTTTTCCTTCTTTTTAAGGCAGATGCAGTGGCCAAAGCCATGATGTACTGCTCCAATAAAAAACCCCACTGTCTTTCTTACTCTACAGATTCATGTGCTTCGCTCTTCTGAGCAGAAGCTGCTATGGTTTATCAGCCAGGAGAGCGTGTTATACCTTCTAAGTGAGATATGGCATGGCATGGCACAGCAGAAGCCAAGTCAGATGCAGCAACATTTCTGAAACATGGCTTGGTTGCAGGCTGTCTTTGCTGTGTTTGCACAGAAACCCAAAGTTAATACATTAGTAAAATTAATATGGAGCCGAAAAGAAAAGAATTAAAAATGCTTTTTCTTTGAGCAAGGACATACAGCATGAATGACCAGTCCTGTAATGAAATCCAGCTTATTTCTTTAGTGATGCAAGTCTTAGAAATACTAGGTTAGCTGAGTAAGTTGTTGCCATCAGTTAAGATTTTCCAGCAACCACCATGCCTCACTCACTTTAGACTACTGCAAGAAACTTCCATATTATGACCAGCTAATTAGTTCTGGACTTTTAAATGAATTTTCCTAGGCAGTACCATCTCCCAGATTAACCCTCCTGCTTTCGTTTACCAGGTATGGCAGATACAAGTGTGAGAGAGGAACTACTGCTGTTCTCACAGAGAACGTAGCACACCTGGAAATTGAGGTGGTGGATGAAACTGTACAAACCATGGATACTTCCTGAGCAGCTGCTGCCTCACCGAGGACACACATGAGGTGTGTTTCATTTTTGGAAGCCTTCCTGCTTGGAGAGAAATATGCAACTCATACAGAATAAATAAAGAGGGGTCTGACCATTCTCTTAATCAGTGTTTCATGGGGTGCTCATTTCTTTTACTGCTTTTCTGTTCTTACCTGTTGTAAACATGGGGCTCGTACAGAACTGCTTCTACTTTAATTATCACAGGGTATTAAGAGCAGTATTGTCATGTTTACATCCATTCTTCCCTGTTTTCTGTAGATAGGGGCAGGCTACTGAGCCTCCACCTCATACAAAATGGTCTAATTAATTTCTACATTTCATCAGAGAGGAAAACACAACTGAAAAGCCTGAACTGTCTAGTTACTTACCTGAGGTTTTCTGCAAACCTCCACTTGGACACATCCTAGAATCCTGAGCTTGTTCTCCTATTTTTGATAAACTCATTTCATGTTTGACATTTACAGTGTAATCCGAAGAAGGAAAAACCTAGCTGAAAATCCACCTGTGAAGTTATTTTCTCATTTACTCAAAGGATTAGGCTCAGCCTCAGAAGGTTTTGTGGTGCCAGCCCTCAATCTCACCAGCCTGCAGCTGCCCTCCAGGGAAAGCACCTTCAGCTGAGCTGTTCCCCTGGGTGAGGTTTTCCATCAGGACAAGTGATGACAGTTTACGTCCCCCATTTTATGAAAGCATGACTTTGCATCAGGTATCCACATACCAAGAAAGCTGTTAGCAAACCTCACACACCTGTTTGGAGTGATGTTTTAATTTTTTCCCCTTTAATACTGAACCTTTTTTTCTTTTTTAAACAAAGGTGTTTATTTTGTAAATCAGTTTTTTTTTATTTATCTAAAAATGCACAATTGCAAAAAAAAAATTACCTTTTGAAATACATTTACTTATAGGCACTAATAAATTTTTATCTAGCAAGACAGCAGAGTGCTTGAGGCCCTGCAGTTTGAGCTGTGCTCCCCAGCAGGCAGAGCCCCTCTGCTGGTCCACCATGACTACCAGCAGCACAGCACAGCCAGCCCGGCCCACTGCTGCCATGGCTTAAAGGAAACCTGCAGTGTAAAGGTGACAGTCTGAAGACTTATGCCTAAGAATTGCTAAAGAAGATGGCTATAAATTAAACAAGTTGGCATGGGAATGTGGGAAGCAACGTGCTGCCTCTCCTCCATTCTCGTGCTGATTTGAATTTCCTCAGGCTCTCAGGAGAGCAGCAGACTCAGCTTCCTGCTAAGAAGCCACGATAAAATGGCACCTTGCATTAATGATACCAACATAGTTCACAGCAATTAGTAGTCTTCCTTGCTACCTATAAAAATATGCAAAATTTGGTGGAAAGTAGTTGAAGATGGCACTGCAATTTTCCTTTAAGTAGAAAGAATCAAGTTAAAAAATCCACTAAAAGCATATATGAGTATATAACCCTCTAACCCTAATCTTACTGGAAAAAAAAAAAGTTCAGACTTGTATTCATTTCTTGAAGAAAACCAGGAGAGGCAGAGGCTGCATGGGGACTGCAGCACACAGACTGCAGCTCAGCAGCAGCACAGCAGCGCTGCTCCCACACTGCAGCACCTGCTCTGCTCCCCCGGCTCACACTGCAAACACTGCCCAGGGCTGCTCCTGAAGCAGGCAATGTTTTTCATTGGCAGTAACGAACAAATCATTGATTCAATGAATGAATTTAGTTGGTTTAAAGTTTTAATTTAAAGAAGATGACCCCTTCTAATCAGCTTGAGATTTTTATAAAAATTCACATTCTAAATCAGCTTTCACAGTTAAATAGACGGGGCTGATCCTTTGTGGAATTAAGCTACACAGAGCATTTGACTGACTTGGTTTCTGTATGTCTCAAAGAGTTTAAAACACTGCTTTGCTTAAAGTTCTACCTACTGGTACCTAATTACTACTGAACGTGTACAAGCATCTTCCCAAAAATCCAGCTGGGGGAGAGAAACACTGCTTTTCATAGCAACCTGCAGTATCAGAAGTCGTGACAATCAGGTGCTCAGAAAGGCCCTGCTGAAGCACATTTCTGTGGAGTGGTTTGCACAGGATTTGTGGGTTTTCTTCCCCAGCTGTACACTGAATTCAGCTCAGTGGCTGAATTAACAGCTAAATGCATTAGCAAAATACTCGCTCTAAGTTTTTAGTTAAAAAAAAAAGTCGTCATGAAATAAATGCATTTTTCCCCCCTCCCACCCCCCAAACCACTCCCAGTTCTAAATCTGAAGGAGGGAATTAATAAAAACACATAAATGGATGCTTTAAAATACACAAAGTAAAAACTGAAATTTGCTATAAACCATTTGCAGAAGAGGCAAAGTAGCAGTTATACAAACGACACAAAATCTACTGTAATTCTTACATTAGTATAAAGTGATTTCACTGAAGGAATTATTTCAATATTTCACATTACAGTTAAGATAGGAGAGGTGTGCCCAACGCTGACACCCCGGTTAATATCATCTATCCTAGATTACACACGACAGTTTAAGAAAAGACCCTTAAATGATCTACACCTGTAACATCTTATTGGCTTAAAAAAAAAAACAACAAATCACTTGCAATACCTCACAGAATCTTCACTTTAAAGCATGACCACCTTGTGAGAGTCCTTGTCAAATAACCTGCAGAAATAATGGAGCATCTTGCTATGAGTGCTCCCCTCACTCGCTGACTAGGCACCAGTCGGTTTCATCTGAGAAAAAAAATTCAAGTAAGACTAAGCTGTGCTGGCTTTTGAGAGTGTCTGCAGATGGTTCAGGTGCTGGAGGTCCAAACGTGCATTTGTTTTGCTATTTGGTGCACGTAACCAATGTCGGGTCTTTGATCTGGATCAGGATATATGCACATGCTGACCAGCTCCCGGAGCTGAAAGACAGACAGAAAGACATTGGAACAGAAATGGATCAGCTTATTTCTTACTGGCAGTGGATGTGGGGCTCCCCCGGATGGGAGCAGAGAGCCCTTCGTGCAGCTGTTGTGGCTGATGCCGCACACTTCTCTGCACCCCAGCTCTATGGAAGGACCACAGTTAATCTGTACACACATCTTAAGATACAGGATGCCCGAGTGTGGCTGTCAGAGCCCAGTGCTTCCTAGAGAACCTCTGTGAAGGAGAGAGACTGGTCATTGATTATGTTTAATAAATAAAATGCAGAAGGGCTGAAGTACCCCCCACCTCCCTACCCTCTTTATTGTGCACATGAAAGATTGTAGCTTTTAATTATACAGACACTGAAAGCTGCTCGTACCCCCGAGGCATAGGGAGAAACAGCCTTGAGCCTCTGATCTTCTCACATCCTCCCAGTAGCCACAGTGCCAATTATTTTAATGGTAATTAAAAGCATGACCCTACAGCTATCAAGCACACAGTTCAGCTGCATTACTGAATGTACCCAAATGAGGCCACAGCTCTGCCTCCTGAGCACTGGGTCGCTGTGGGCCCTGAAGCCATCCCAGCAGGAACTGGCAGACCCGACCTTGACGTGCAGCCACAACTGGTGCCAACAATTACCAGCGCATTTGTTTCTAAGACAGAAAGCGAATCAGTCTCAGCTCCTCCAGATCATCATGAGATCTAGACTGGAGAAAAGGCCACAGCCAGGAGGCCATCACTGAAGGGCAACAACACCCGAGAGGGCATTCCTCAATTAATGCTTTGTCCCGTTCATGCACAACAGTGCTGCAAGGAAAGTATCCAGGGGGTCAGCAGGGCTTTGTTTGGGGGCACGTCACCAAGCACTCTGCTAGCTTCATTTGGCTGATGCTCATCTCTGCCCTGGGTAGAAGATGGAAAGGCAGCTGTCCCTCACCACTACCGAGCCTGCACCAGTGGCAATACTGGAATGGCCCAAAGAATCTGCTCCATCAGCCTAAGGAAAATGTTCACATGGGAACAGCCAACCTCCTGGCAGCACTGATTCCTGCTGGTGCAACTTACTGCTGCAGGAAGGCGCTGCCACTTTTTTCCCAAGCCCTGTAGCATGAGGGCTCCCACCCAGTGGCTCACCCTGCTCAGCTGCTGGAAGACACCAACCCACCTCTCCTTCAGTTCTGCACTCAAGAAGCACCTGAAAATCCAACCTTTAAAACCAGCACGAAAACAAATAGTGTTCATGGCAGAGACATGTTCTAAGACTCAGGAAATTAGAGCTCTTTGTGGTTCACATAGGCAGCAGCAGCTCATACAGCTACAGCCAAAGGCACAGCCCTCTCAGACTTCGTCAGGCATTCTGTTAATAGTGCATGAACACCATCTGGAGTCTGGTTCTCTGGGACCTGGCGCCTTTGAGCTTTAAACCATCCTTCTCACCCCGGACTGTATCACTACACTACACACACTCTTTAGCACTGCCAGAGGGAAGCAAACAGACAGTAATTGTAAAGACAGGAAACACATCTGTCAACTTACACTAATTCCTGCTGCCAGCAGGCATATCCTGAGCTGCACACTACAACAGCACGGCAAACGTGAATGCACAGAGCCGGGACGTGCTGCTACAGCTTGGTTAAAAATAATCCACTTTTCCACAACACTTCTCCAATTATCTTTTTGCAAGAGTTCCTTAGCAAGAGAGAACGAATGTAAACTGTGCGGCGGCCCAGAGGACAGGACAGCACCACGCTGTGACTGCCCAGGGATCGGAGCTGGCAGCTCAGTGTGGTGCAGGCAGACTCCTCTGAGCAGCTCAGCCCTGCACAGTCTATAGTTTAAAACGTAAAACAACATCTAAAATTACGTTAGCCTTTTCCTTTCAAACAGAAGGCACCAATGACTGAATGAAAAGTAAGGAAAACAGCTAGTTTGCCAAGAAAAAGGAAGAAAAAACAGAAAAAAAACAGCTCAAAAGGCCTTGCATAAAAACAACCCCCATGTCTGCAGCTCAAGTGCAACATCACAGAGCAAGCAATGCATAGCAGCAATTTTGTTTTTTTCAATACAGGTTTTTAAAATACAGTTCAGCTACTGCTCTCCATCCTTTGCTTTCATATACATAAAACCCAGACTTCAAAAATCCCCCTTATGCAGCTTGATTTACTGATGATTACCTTATTAAACTGTTTTCCTCTTCTCCCCATTTTAAAAAAGTAAAAAGAAAAAAAAAACTACTCCCTGTAACAAGCTGAAGACCACAGGAACAAAAATTTAAGCGTGGTTTCATGGTATGTTATTTTAAGCAAAGGGAGGCAAAGGAGAGGGCTTTCCCACGGTTCATTGTTGGTTTTTGCCAACGTAACAGACTTTCAGTCTCAAAATCCTCTCCATGTTAAGAAACCACATTAAGAAATCTTCCTTTCTGCCTTACTTCAATGTGCTGATATTCAGAGGCTCAGCAGCTCCTCAGGCAGCTGCAGGGCAGCACTGCACTCCCCACCCCTGCAGCCGGGATGGGGAGGCTCTTCCCCACACCCCCACCACTTCCCCTGCACAAATGCCCCCAATTTACCTTCTCAGAATAATGTTCAGCTGGGAGAGGCGGGTAGTCACACTGCTCTATTTTTTGGCAAAGAGAAAACAGGTTCATTTTATCTCCATAGAAAGGACTCTGAAGAGCTGCCATCTGGAGAGAAAAACACAGAGAGCATTTCAGAAACGGAAAAGATGTAATAGCCCTCAGTACTAACGATTTGCAAGAGCAAATTCTGTTCTCTGATGGTGAGCAAGCGACGCTGCTGCTCCACCAGCCCATGGAACAGCTCAGCTGCTCGGAGCCGGACAGCCCCGCACCGCATCCCTGGGCCTCGGCACTCAGCGAGCTCCTCATGCTTCCCCATCACTGGTTATTTCTGCTGAAAATACTGCAGATGTGGGACACTGTCGGTGGGCAATTCCACAAGTATGCAGAAGAAATGTTCTCCTAATTTAAGTGAGAAATAGGATGCCTGTGCTGCAGGGCGACCCGTCAGACACCAACAGACAGCTATGAAAAACTGATACATACGATCACCTTCTGACAGAGCATCTCTACTGTTCCTGATAAGGCTGTGGTATCAGCCCTCCTTGGATACTACCATGTTCAGAACTGCCAATGCATTTACTCTCTATCACTGGCAAATTTTTAATCAACCGTTACAAGGAATAAGTGGATTAATTTTGACTTTGGCTACCTAGAATAAAAAGAACCTTATAAATGTGAGTGATGCAGCTCTGCCTTAAAAACGGACCTCAAAACAAACATCCTCTCCTCCTGGAAATTTGCTGCTTAGGAAAGAACGTCCCAGGCAGATTTGGGAACCCAACCAGAGAACCTTTTCCTCATCAGCCACGTCTTCAGCCTCTTTAGATTCCGTTTTATTAATCCAGATTTGTGTCTCCAAACCCGCAACAGATGTCTGATGTAAACAGACCGAGCACACAGCACGGACAGCACAACTGAAGGCTACTGGTGGGAAAGAACTTCCAGCTCAGTACAGAGAGGTGTTTATCTAACACTGAAGTGCCAGAAGGAAACTGCATCTCTGCATGGAATATCATCTACACTGCAGGTTCTTGGTCAGGAAGTCTAAACGAACCCCAAACCATGAGCTTCAGGAGAACAGCCACTACAAGATGTGCTTTGAACCTACAAAGTGTGGCACAGGACACGTCCACTGTGGGGCAATGGTCCTGGAGGTGGCACAGTGGCAGGGCAGGCAGGAGCTGAGCCCCAGGGCCACACTGCCCACGGCCTCCACGCAAAATAGAGGGCGAAAAAGTGAAGGCACATTTCTATTATAGTCGTAATTGCTAATTAGAGACTGACAGCAAACTGCTCCATCAGTTACACAGAAGTGGAGAGAAAGGGGGTGACACTGGGAAGTGATGTCCCCCCATTCTGGCTGACACAGCTCCGACTACCGGCGCTGCGCACAGCACTTTGTGTGGCTTTGTTTGGGCTTGCTTCTGGCATTTTGATTAGAGCAATTACTGAAAGACAGCAAGATCTCCATTGGAAATGACCACCATGCAGGATGGCTGGTTAAAAAAATTCCTATGCAGGAATTGTTGGTGTTTAAATTGATGGTCTTGCCAGAACCACTGAAGTCACTGCTTGCAGCTACATTCCGGGAATTAACAACTTATTTTCATTCCCTGAAGTGATCTTGCTGACAGATTTCTACAGGAAGTGAGGGATGAAGACAGTTACTACTGTATTGATAAGATTTAATGACAATCACTGTACGATCATCAATGTCAAAGTTAAGCGGTGCTATCTGACATCACGGCCCAAACCCCTCACTGTTGTGTAAGGGATCCCACCGGACACGCACGTCTCTGACGGCAATTTGTGCTTTAAATCCCCCTGCAGTTATCTGCACAACGGATCTGAAGAAATATCAGAAGTGACTCATAACCAAACAAACATTGCTTCCTTACTTTTAAGCTAAATGGAAAAAGATTTTCATTACAAGAAATTAGTGGGGGGGAGGGAGGCTCTTTCAGAGATACGTGAACTTCATTTTTCATTTTCAAATATCTAATAAGTTTTAAAAGTCAAGTGGATGCTTATCTGGTGAGCACAAAATTGGGAACCGTCCAGTCCTTCTTGGAATACTCAAGCTCTCGAGCTCTTGCTCACAAAGTAAAGGCTTACCTACGTAGGAAGTACATTTAAAAATGCTTTGGATGCCAAATCTTTCACGTTATTACAGTACTGCTACTGTTCCGCACGCAATTAACTCAGCTCCTTGAAATACGAGGAGTACTAAGACTACCGTGCCATAAGGGGACCATATTGCCTGCAACAAAAACATATCTTAGCACTACGCTAAATATTTCTCTCTGCATAAATCTGGAGTCCTTCCCTAGCAGTGCCCTCAGTCTCAGAGATGCCTGTACCCAACGTGGGCCCTTCGCTATTGGCAGCCTGGGTTAAGCCTCACACACTGTGGCAGAGCCCACGTCCTCAACTCAACACCCTGTGCTGGGAACTCCTGGTGAGGTCTGATAAACGACACAAAGCTGGAATTCTTCAAAATTGTAACTGACTTGGTTGAAGCTCAGGTCCTTTCCCCTTGCTCCCACTTAAAAGAGTCTCTGCACTCTTTTTCAAATGGCTACACGAGACCCAGGTACACACAGCTATGTTTTATGACCCTGCTTTTCATCAGAAATTCATCCCAGTATTTCATTAGAGGTGCTACAAACAAAGCCATCCTCCATTGAAAACATCAGCTTTTCTACAGCTTGCCGCTGTTGCTTCAGCTTCCAAACTCCTGAATTCTTTCTCTACAGCTGAGAAGAATCTGAGGACAGGCACAGAAACACGAGGTTTAAGCTCCCTCTTCTCCACGTACCTCTGATAAACACCTTTGGCCGGGCTGCACTGCTGCCCCACGTGCACACAGCACGGGCTGAGACTGCACCGATCGCAGTCATGGAGTTCCCAGCACCTCTCTGCACAACCACACACAGCTCACAACAAATCAGCACCCACCGAGCCGCCGGGCTCAGCGCTCAGTCGTGCACTAACAGCAGCAGTTTGTTCTTTGAGACAAACATCCTTCCCACAAGGAGATAACAGTGACAAGCACTGAACTCCTGCCAGGAAGAGATCTATTATCTGGGCATTTACTTTTATACCCTCTTGTCCCAAAAGGCAGTTTTTTAAACCAGCTGAATGACGTGCTTAACTATCATTGCTTTCATAGCTGCTCACTTGCAAAACAATTTGCATTCCTGTTTTATTCTCTCATTCTGTGTGGTTATAAGAAACTGCAATGAGGAACAAAATCTCATCTGTTCACACAATTTCAAGTAACTCAGGAAAGCATGACCCTGACATTCAGAGCTATATTTCCCAATGAGGATGTGAGCTGTAGCTTTATAATTCAACATGCCAGGGATTTCCCATCCTCAGGACCAGGATAAAACTTTGCAAATGCTGACTTGCACCTTCACTTAGATTCAAAAAATGATACATGCATTTAAAATGATAAGTGACTACAATATTGTTCTGACTCCTGCTAGAAACAGAATCACAAAGTTCAGAGTGCTGTGACAGAATCCTAGCGCTTCTTTTTAAAATGCATGTACTTGTAAAGAAAACCAACTGGCTTTTAAGAACAGAGTTACAAATCATGCAGTTCAATCGAGGAGTGCCCACTCTCTCACCCCACCTTTGTCTATAGGACAACTGGAAAATACCCCAGCTGAGCTCTGACACAAGCAGAGAAATGGTGATTTCACATTACGTAAAAACTCTGCTTTTCTTCATTGAAAGCTCTCAGAGTTAAGATATTCCAATTAGTCAGAATTCAATTAAACAAACCAGTGGCTTACATTCAAATGAATTTTCTATTTGTAGAACAAATGGTATTCAGGAGAAAACTACGAATATGCTGCCCTAATTACTCTGCTCACAGTGGGAAGAATGAATACAGTAAACTGGCTTCTTTGTGTCTATATCCTCAGCATCCACCGTGACCCGCTACATTAACTTTGCACAGGCGCTGCGTGGCACAATTCCCTCGTTGTTCACGCTCACAAATCACGCGATGAACACGAAGAGTTAATTTCTCATAAGGTTTCTGAACAAATAAGAGAAAATAACTTTGACCTACTCAACTGCTGACTCACTGTACCGTGTAGCTAAGACAAATGGGAAAAGAAGATGGTACTTACTTCATACAACAAACAGCCCAAAGACCAGATATCGGATTTAAAGTTATAGCCGTTTTCATGTATTCTTTCTGGGGACATATAGTATGGAGTTCCCACTGCAAAGAAAATGAACAAATGAGGAGTTACCACGCAAGAAAGAGACGGTGCAACCTGCGCTGTACAGAAATGAAGGATGAGGATTAGCAGAAACAGCTCACAGAAGTCTGGCACAAGAATTTGGAAAGAAATTATGCTTTCAAAGGCATATTCTCACCTAGAACCAAAAATACAACCACATGAACAGCTGATGACTGCTGAACATTGCTGAAAGCACTTTTTCTATTTCGGAAATCTGAGGAAAGCTTTCCTCCCTCCTGAGCCACCACTGCATCTCCCATGGGCAGAGCCACCATAAAATGATGGTTCACTCAGCAGCAGAGGAAGCCGTGAGTTACACATCATGGATGTACAGTGCTGCAACACAGATCCCAGAGCAGCACAGCACTCAGCGTTCACTTGCAGCACAACAGCCCAGCTCAAGATGATGGGGTGCCCTTGCTAAGAGTTTGGGAGACCACTGGCTGGAGCAGGGAGGTGCCAGCGACAAACCTGACACAGGACAGGTACAGCTTTCTGGAAGAACCAAGAGAGTAATTCCAAACTTTTAAACGCTGTTCCAGCTCCAGTCCCATGAGGAGCTGTTGGATTTCCATGTACTTCCAAAAGTCTGTATTTTATCACAAGAAATTTACTACAGCATTTTGGACAGGACTTGCAGGAAATTATTAATAAATTCCTTACCTCAAAAAGGCTCTTTTTAAAATCCTAAATAAGTTTCAGTTGTGGTACTGAAAATACAAGACATCCTGGAAGTTTCAGCTACATCAAATAAACCTCAGATACATCATTTATTAAAACATCCAAGGGCTTTCTATGCTCTCTCCTTCCTCATGCTTTCCCATCCTCTGTCAGTTTTTTTTTCTTTTTTTCCAGCATCCATCTCTTAATTAAAGACCTTTCGCACAAGATGGCAAATGTTTATTCTGCCTGTAACTTGTAGTTTGCCATTTCTTCATCCAAAGCCCTGACTGCAGACAGCTGAAAGATTCCTGAGCAGATGAACAGTGGTGCTGGAGGCAGAGGGGGGAGAGCTGCACCACCTTCCCCAGCTTTCCTAAGGGCTTTGCACACAGAAGGAAACAAATTACTTCTGGACTGGAATGCTCCTGAAAGGCAAAACCCCCCCAGAGAGACACAGGGCCCAGCACAACACGGGGCGCTGGCGCCATCAGTGTGAGACCCGAGCAAAATCACCTCAGGCTCCAGGAGCTTAGAGCACGCTGCATTAAGTAAATAGGTGAGTCCAAAACTTGGCTGCACTCCCATCATCCACAGGATCGAAACATGGGCCACAAGCCCATGGAGACAGGCACTGATATTTCACTGGTAGACACCCATACAGATCCAGATTTGTGTAGAAGAGCTGCACTTGGTTAGAGTAGCACTGACTCATTTTCCTCCTTAGAGCGATTTGTTACATGAATATACATGTTATATGTTCTTGGTTTGGAAGTCTCCATTAGACACAATCACATAAGTCACATCCCAACTTTTTAAGCCAGTGCTTCTTCTCTTCTCAAATCTGAAAGAAACCTACCAGACTAGATGAAGAGACACCTACATGGAAGAGGCCTGCCATGACCAGCAGCAAGTAAAGGAGCAGGGCTGCAGCACAGAGCCACAGGAGCGAGCATGGAGCCCATTCCAGCTCTTCCTGCCCAACGTCTGCGTGCTCTATAGCACGTGGTGCCAGTGGCGGCCTCCAGCAGTAGCTGTTCTTGCTATCAGTTATTCTGGGTCACTGCGTGACAAGCTCAGAGCAAATAACAACGTGTGGGCTCTAAAGTTACGGTCCTGCCTGCCATGTTAGCAGGGGTCTGCTTGGTAGGCTAAAATTGTCGTTTCAGATAATGCCTTAAAACAACCTTCGATCAAAGCAAAATGACAGGGTTTGTAACACGGATGAGTGCGTTATAGTCCAGATTTGATTTTTTGTGCATTAGTCTGTTCCATTATACTAATAGGTCTGCGGAGCAGTCCATGCCTGATCTGATTTTATGAAGTCTACCTTGCACATTTACCTATCATTACTGTAGTGTTGTCAGCAAATATACGAACAAGCAGGGCTCCGCATTTCAGAACTGATGCATTAATTTTTAAATAGCCGTCATGATAAAAGACTGACAAGCCCAATTCTCTTTATGGCCTGTCCAACATTACGTGGGAATCTCCTGTAATGAGCATCTTCTAGAAAACCGCACAAGACTTCCAATGCAATCAGTCAGGACTCACCATTGCATCACATTAGTCAATTTGACAAGAACAGTCTAATCGGAGACTATTAATCAGAAACTTTCTTTGGCATTTGCCCAGCTGAAAATACAGAATATTGTTCAGATTCAATATTAATCACCAGCTGCTAGAGTAATGCCTTTAAAGTTACAAAGGTTGCAGAGCCATAGAAAAGATTATGACTAAGCAAGCATCTTCCTATTCTATTCCTGGAAGTCAAAGCACTTCGCTTGAATACCAGCCTGCCTCAAAGATCTCAGAACAACATCTCTTCCTACCCCCCTGAGCACTGCATGTGCAGCTAAAACACCCACATGGACCAGAATGGCTACGGTGCAACATCCAAGGGAGGGAAGCGCTAATTATTCTGAGTGAGATGAAAAGCAGTCTCTTGTTTCTCCAGGAAAACACGCAGGCAAAGGCAGGGAAGTTATTTCTGAAATAAAACTCACATAGCTTTGCTCCAAAACAAGAGTATGAACCAAACAGAGAATGGTGCAGATCCAGCAGCCACCGAGCACGGATACCCCGCACTGAGTTCCCAAACCTGCCCCAGGAACACCAGGTGCAGAGCTGCATTGCCTCCAATGCAGCAAGGCGCTCAATATGTAGGGAAGATTTTGCTCAATGATCTTGAAAACATTCTTCAGCTTGAATCAGAGGATCAGAGGAGTTTTGTTGTGAAAGTGACAGCGGATGAGTTTGTATGTACAAAATTGTTATTTTCTAAACAAAGCTTCCCCCCGCACAAATACAGTTCAGCCAGGCATCAATGCTCCCCATGAAATTTATACTTGGCTGCTCACAGGCAAAAATAAGAGAAAATCTGATCCATGTTTTTAAGCTACTCTTACAAAGAGCCTCACTCACTGAACGTAGCACTGCACAGATCGGTCTCTCGCAGCACTGCTCTCCCACACCTCGGGCAGACCGCCAGCACACCGAAGTCAGCACAGAACATTTCCCACTTTTCTCATAGTCTCTCTACGTTTCTTAAACAACATTATAAGACGTAGGCATCTCTTGAATCTAATCAAAATCCATAGCCACATTTGGCTGAAAAATACAAAACCAACTGATAAGTTGCTTTGCTTTTTACCCACCGCTTTACTTTTCCACAGCAGGCAACAAAGTTCTGCCTATGAAAGAACCTAACAAGTTCTGACCTTTTTTGTATCTTTACAGAATATTCCCAGTTTCAAACCAAGAGATATCAGAGCACATGGGCCTCAAAGGGGTAATGGTGATTAAAGCACTCCTTCCTTTCAGAGATGCTCCGCTCCTGTCAAAACTAACTTTGTCATGGTTTCAAGTACTTGTGATTTTTGAAACGTGTTCATTACAAATGAAAAAAAATAAAAACCAACCCAAAAAGCCAGTGATGCCATCCACGAGTAACATTGTTGTTAAAAACAAACACAACTAAAACAGTTTAAAGGTAATAACACAATACCTTCTAAGCAACTAGCTTAACTTTAATACTCAGGACACATTTTAACATGTGCCATGACATTATGAAAAATATTTTAGTAGGTTTTAATACCTGGTGGTGCAAATACTGCAGGGAAGCAGTTCTGCCTGTAAGGGCACTGCTCCCACCTGCCTCATCTCTCCAAACAAGCTCATGGGCTCCCAAGAAGTCTCAGCATTATTTCATTTGTCTGGTTTTAAGTATCAGTTGCCAAATGTTTGCATTATTTGGGAGATATTTCCAGATATTTTCATAAAAGAATAGTCCGGGAATCAGAACAACTTCCAGGCATTAATTTTGGTATTCTGTCCTATTTGCAGGAGACTTCATCTATCCCTAGTCCTCTGTGATCTGCGAGAAGACACGAAGCTTCCCATGTTCTCAGCTGTCAAGAATAAGCTTCTTTTGACTGATGAAGAAATATTAAATAACAAAAACTAGATATGATACAGCTTTTCTTTGCATTGGGATTATAAAATGAACAAACAAAAGCAGCAACGGAAACCTGAGCAGCTCAGCTCAGAGAAACCATAAGAGCATCTCAGCCGCTGCTTCCCCTGCTTCAGCCGTGCATTAGTGGCAGAAGCACTGAAGATTTGTGAGTGCCAGACAGGAGATGGGCAGGCTGTGTCCCACGCCCTGGCAGAGTATGTCAAGCAAAATAAAAATGAAGCTGTAGACAAAAGAATTGAAATGTACCTTAAATTACTTCAAACCGCAGTGAGGTACCAAGGCTAATTGTCTCAAGAGAAACAAAAATTAATCTACTTATTCCTACAAAGAACATTTTCTGTATAGTATTTCAGCTGTTCCTAGGAGATTGTTGATTTAAGTTCTCTATTTTAATTTTTTTTTTAAATTACAGACACAACCTGACGTGACTTTTAGTCACACTTCTCAACACGGCGGTACTGCAATATACCTGCAGTAACTCTGCAGCAATTGTTTCTTACACAAACAGCACCTCAGGAACACATCCAAAAGCCAAAGTTTCTCAAGATGTGATGCAAGGAATATTGTCTGCTGTAATATTAGGGAGATTTCTTATGTGTGTCTCTATCTCTCAAAAAAACCAAAAAACCCCTCAAGTCCCCCCCCAGGGTACTCATACTTTGTTTCAGATGACAAACTGGCTCAGCAAGACAATAAAAATAAAGAAAAAAAACCAACAAACAATCTATTTACAAATGAGTTCCTCTCATGGCCTCATGACTGCAGAGTTGCTCCCCATTCACCTGCACATCCAACAGGGAACTGGGGGATCTCTTCTGCATTTATTGCATTTATTGTATTTATTGATCCTCCTACTAAAATAAAATCTTTCCTTTTGTTGTTAAATTTCCCAAAGTCCATGCAGTGTTAAATGCTCCCTATTCATAATGCCACTGTAATATTTATAATATTCAGAAGCAATTAGGCTTTACAACAAAACCCAACAACGAGGCAATTCTAACGTGCCTGTTAGTCACACCGTAGCTGACCAGATCTGCCTCTGGATGCCCTTCTCAGAGATTAGCAAATTAAAGACCGGACACAAACAGGCACTGCCAACAAAGCCGGGCAGAGCAGGACGTCCCGGCCCTGGGAGTGCTGAAGCAAGAAGGACGGCGAGCAGCGCGGGGAGCACGGCCTGGGACGAGGTGCTGCCAGCTGTGCCACACGGCTGCTCTGGGGACACAGCGCTGTGCAATGGGGGGAAGAACACTGGGGATGCAGCAAAAGGCAGCGGCCGTGGGCAGGAGATGCCCAGCTCCCAGAGCAGCCATCCCACGCCACACGGGGCTCGCCAGCCTCTCCTGAGCTGTGTACGAGCAAATCTTTCATTTTTCTCTCATTACCCCGGCATGTACTGTCACTTAATTTTTATGTATGCAATCCTTCCTGACAAATATGATCTGCTGCCTGGTAATCCATCTGACATTCATTCTGCTCCTTGCTCTAATTACAGCTCCCATCCCCAGCGCGGTGGCCCGGTGGTACACCTGTCAGACGGGTCACGGTGTGGCCGAACGGCCCTTCATGTCGGCCCAATATTGGCAAATGCAAGGGAGAGAGAAATGAGATGGCTCCATTCGCACAGCCCTGCGCCGGATTCATGGGTCAGCAGCCAGCAGCAGGCCCAGGCCGGTTGCTGGGGCAACAGGGCTGCGCTGAGCGCCCAACTCAGCCCGGCCTGCGCTGCCATCCCTCATGGCTGCTGACACAAACGTCCTCATCGTGCCAAAACCAGGATCAGCAGCTTTCCTGCTGCCACACAGCCTATGTGCCTGGCAAACGGATGATAAACAAATAAACACAGCTTCAAGCGTGCAATACTTTCTCTGACTGCAAACACACTCCTTTCACGAGCAAGGGCTGTGACAGCAGTCTGCCCATCCCCACACAGCACACACTGCCTCCAACTCTGCTCGCTGCTGCCCAGCAATGCTCTGCATCCCACCCAGGATGCAGATGGTGAGGAGGGGCAGAGGAGGCCCACTCTTCCCATCTCTTCCCATTTCCTCCTAAGAAGCTCTCAACAGTGAGGAGCAGTGCTGGTGATGACCACGGGCCGGGAAGCTGGCTGCACGTGGCTTCCTGGCCCCAATTTTTTCTTATTAATGTAGTAAGCACAGCAGTCAGCCTAGATAACATCACATGATTAGACAGTCCCATTTTTGCCTGTTCAGATGATGAGGTTATAACTTTCTGTGAAGAGGATTCATTTTAACCTAGTGAGTTTAGTGCACGTATCCTAGGATAAGCTGATGCAAAAGGAAATCTAGCCTTTTATGAAAGTTAACTAGAGAAATGAATAAGCTTCTTCCAAGCACACAAAATAAGGCATCCATCTTCCTTCTTCGTGCACTGAGAAGCCCCAGTGTCATTAGACACTCAACTAAGTTTGCATTCATATAAAGAAACAACAGAGCAAGAGTTGCAACAATGGAGGAACTTGAATGGGTGAGAACAAACAGGGAAACAAAGAAGTTCTGTGTTCCAAAATCAACAGAGCGCGCTACATGTGGGAGCGCTGACTGTGCTGAGAGACAAGGGTCCTCCTCTGCTGAGCACGGAAGGCATGACTCAACAGACACGTCAACACAGATGGAAAACGAGCCACCTCTCCAGTGTAGGCACTTAGGGCAAAACTAACAATTATGAAAGATTTTATACTGTAAGCCAAAGAATGAGCTCTGTATACCATACACTTCCACAGCACTGTAATTAATGCTAATAGTAAAATTTTTATGAAGTAGTTTCCACGTAGTTCCTTCACGTTAACAAACCATCATTATTTATCACTTGATTCATGCTGAAATACATTCTCCTTAAAGGAAAGGATTTGTCCTAAGCACTTCAATTTGTAGACAGAAGAAAACATGAAACAAAATATTTTTTTTAGGAATTCTCCTACAGGACGTGAGAAAAAGCATACAGCCACTCTGGTTTCCTAGAGCTTTTACTTTCTCCTGTAACAACAGGCAAAGAACAGGCACGGAGGTTCATTTGTGTAAGAAATCAGTTTGCTTTGCCAGCTTTATAGACAGCTTACTTTCTAGAAATCTTACTGGAATTGTAATTTTAAAATGGTGCAAGAAGTTACTTCTCTGCAAACAGATGAGAAGGTAACACTATTACTTAAACACAGTATGTATATTGTTCACAATTGTTTTTGCTTTTTCCCATTGACTTGTCCAGAAAACTTCCTATCTCTCTGATTCCATGACAAGGCCATGGGCTTCAGAGGGAGGGAAAGATAAGCAACAGATATCTTACAACCTTTTACAACGACGTATAATTTTGCTTATAAGGGAACTCTGAAATCTGCCTGAATGAAACCACTCCAAAAATGAAAAATCGGTCAGAGAACAGTTCACTGTTGTAACAGAAGGCTACCTCCAGTGATGCCCTGCAAGACACCTGGTAGCCCAAGTTCTGTTGAATATCCACTAATTGTGGGAATGCTGCTGTTCTTGTGGATAACAAGAACCTGAAATGAACCAAAGCATAGCAGAGTACAGAATAAAATTTCAGAGAGATAACTATCAGAGTCTGAAAGCAGCATACAATTCAGCAAGAATGAAAGCAGAGAAAGCAAACTATGCTTTGGCAGAAACAAAGCTGCACACACAGCAGAGCAGGAAAACAACCTTCAGATACATGGAAGGCATTAAGAAAACTTGGATCTATTAAACTGATGCTGAATTTCAAAGTGAAGTCCCTCTTTGGAACAGACAAACTCTGAGGGCCTCAAATACCTCCCTCACCACAGACAACATCACAGTCCCTGCTCAGGGGAAGACAGCTGAGCAGCATCTGCCAAAAAACAGTAATGGTGCAACATCTAATTCTGGTAAGCAGAGTGCAGGCAACTATGCTATTTAGGGTGGAAAAGCTGCAATTGTTACATTTGCTGTAAATCACACCTTTAATAGGCCAGACATTCCAGGGGAAAAAAAAAACAAAACAACAAAACCATCAAGTGCAAGTTCTAAAGCAAAAAAAAAAAAATTTAAGAATTTTTATAGGAATATTCCATCTGTTTCAATACCATTCAAAAAGGAAATCAGAGAAAACAACGTATGTGCCCACCAAACCAAACTTGTCATTACAGGACAATAGATACCACTTCCTTTGAACATCACAGTTGACAACTGTACAGCAGTACTCACTTACTGATGAGAAGAATCATCTTACCTAAGGAATGTGCTGCAGTGGTTTTAGAACTAAAAAACCGGCCTAATCCAAGATCTCCCAGCTTCACCACCCCTGTGGCTGTTATAAACACATTGGCTGGTTTTATATCTGCAAGAAGAAAAAGGTAGAAGGTCAAAGTCACAAAAGGTTATTTGGTTCTAATACTGCAATAGAAGCATAGCCTGGAGCATTGCCTGTACAGGACAGACTCGAACAGAACCGTGTTTCCTTGCAGCTTTGATAGGCTGAGTCTTTTAAGACTTCAAGTTCCATACATACACAACAGAGCACACTTCTCAACACACAAAAAATACCAGCAAGGAAAAGTGATTGGAAATAGCATCACACAATAGCAGCAACCTCTTTAACGGATGTAATCAATCAAAGCAATGCTGAGTTGTTCCCCAAAGGAAGCAAACAATTTTCTGCATGAAACAGTACTGCCCACCACCCACAAATTACTGTCCTACTACACTTAAATTCTGGGCTCTGTACAGCCCATTTTGCTTGTGTACTGTAAAAATCACCAGATCCCTGGATTCCCAAGAAGTCACGTCAGGCTAAAAGTTAGGGAGGCTCTTTCTCACAGTTAGAAAAGACTAAACGTACAGGATTCCACATTTCAGTTACCTACAGTACAAGTAATTCAGGTACAGATCAGCTACACGAGGGGTGGAAAGAGGAGCAAAAATGGTACAACCCTGCTGAAAAAACTGGTTAAGTTTTTCCAAGAAGGAAAGAAACAGCAGAAGCAGAAGAGGCTGGCATTAGTGCCTTTGCATATCGGCACCTCTTGGGTCAGGTCCTTCACTAAGCATTTCATTTACACTAAAGAAGCAATGTAATTTTTTTTATAAAGTTCAAAGCAAAAAGTTCTAAGACAAGAGATTCAAAATAATTAACAGAAATAGAGAACAGGCAATCAGAGTGTGGGACACACTTGTATTAATACTTGAGAAAATCTTGCAAGAGAGGAAAACTCTCCTGAACTCTCTAAGGTCACAACTAATATAATGAAGACTATTTCTTAGAGAGCTCACTGTATCCAGTAGTCTCAGCATTTTACTTCTGACACTTTTCTAATGGCATGTTTGACACTTCTACTCAATATCAGTGTCTGGAATACAAAGCAGCTCATCTTCCTAATAGCACACTCACTTCGGACTGAATCCTTTAACAATGAGGCAAAAAGACAGAAGGAGAAATCCATCTTGCAAGCTCCAGCCTCTCTAAACATGCATTGGCTGAACATCAGCATAATTGTTTTTGAATGTAGGCGCTTACTAATTGGAACATTATATTATTATTCAGTGAAAAGAGACTGAATTAATGTTACCTCTGTGCATCACCCTGCGGGAGTGCATGTGTTCAACCGCACTGCATAACTGCACAAAATATTTCCACACCGTCCTTTCTGGGATTAACCGTTTCTGCTTCTTAAAATACTGAGAAAGGAAATAAATAAAAGATCAGTGAAAAAGCAACATATCTGACTTGTTCCTGGACTCGCGTGCATCAGCTGCCAGTTGCTCATGTCTTCCAGATCTGCAGCAGCATGACTTTTTTTCTGATTAGCTTTAACTCCTCTCTGTATGCAAACTTCAATGCAGTTCACTAATTAACAACTATTACGAAAAATACGCTTAAATAGGTTTGACATTTTTGAATGGACACCAATTATAATCAGCATTAATCTCCTTAATTACCTTGCAAAACATATTTAATGCCTCAAAACAACAAATGTCTCAAATATTTTGCCTTAAGTAACAAAAGATCATTAAAAAAAAATCTCATAAACATTCATTATCATACAGTCTATTAACAACAAAGAAATGTGCTTCCTCTTCTAAGAAGATGGCCATAGCATCAATAAAGTATCCGTATTTCTTCCATGATCAGGTGGGATAATATATTCCTTTTCATGCATAATAGGAATATTAAATTAACTGAAGTATCTCCAGTGAGATGCAAAGACACTACTGATCAAGACACACATGGATTTGGAAAGAGACAGTTTTTATGTGCATTTATGCAGCGTCAAGTACAGCCGAGTCCAGATTCTATGGACCTCTGGGTGCTAAAGACTCTCAGATAAAATAATCATAAACATGATGCACGAATAAGGAGCGGTGCAGCACAGGGATGGTTATTTCCAATACGTCAGTCTTCCTCCCCAGTAACTTATTACAGACAAATAACCAGTCATACACTGCAGTGAAGGCTAAACATGATGCACCTTCAATGTCTCCATTTCAGGACTGCACTGCAGCTGTGCACATCATGCAAAGTACCACAGCCTCCTCCAATGCTTCCCAAAATTGCACTACTTCCAATTATTGGTCCCTGACTTCTCATTGCTTCTTCCTGTGCTAGACACCGAGCACGTTCTTCCTCTGGAGCACTAACAAAATCCACTTCCAACACACTTGCAGTGGTTTAAGATTTACCCTCAGCCTTTGATATATAAGGTATTGCAGGATAACAACCAGCTCTGAAACGCTGTACATCCTTCTAGCACTCCACAATCACATTTCTTTTGCATCATACCCTTGAGAATTTCAGTCAGCAGCATGCAGGAGCAAGAATAAAGGAAGGAAATTGGCTGTTGCCCCTTTCTGCATCTCGTGCTTTTTCCTCTCAGTACAGACATCTGATGTCCGTTGTCACATTTTGTATTTTATGTGAAATGCTGTTACTGGTTCGTGTTTGACTCAAGTAATGGCAAATTTTATTTTGCACATCAGCTGTGAAGGGGCACGACCATGCAATTCCCCAGGCAGCAAGTCTGACAGCTTGCAACAGTTTCAAACCAAAACTTGATAGAGAGCACAGAGGAATTACAGAGGGTGAAGGATAAAGCGTTATATACATGATAATATTATTTAATTTTCAGTAAAGTATTTAAGAGTGGATATGCAAGACCACAAGTGATAATTTTCTAAATGTCATGTCCAATAAGACTTGTCTGACATTTACAAGAGAGCCCCAACTCTCCAGTGGGTTATCCAGAGGCACTCCCTTACATCAGCTTTACAATTCCTCATAAATAATGCAGGCAACAGGGGCGTGACAAAGACAGTCCCTGTTTTTATCACTCTCACACCTTCAGAGCTCTGCTGCTGCTGCTCTCACCGCCTCTCCAACACTGAAAATCCTCACGTAAGCCTGAACTCCCCAGGGCTGGTGGTGCTGCAGAGGAGTGGGCAGCAAACCCGGGTTCAGCAGCTCTGCTTCCAGCTGTGCTCAGGAGGAGAATTTAATTTCCTCCTGGTGTTGGTGAGTATTTCATTTTTTTTTTTTTAAATGATGGGAAACAAAACAAATAAACATCTGAATTCAAATATTTGCACCACTGAAAGGCATGGTTTATACGACTCAGGAAAGGCCCTGAGCATTCCCCCCACTCATGTGACAAAGGTGTGGGAGAACAGACCGGACCTGGGAGCACTGGCAGAGAGAATATGTGCTATGCTGCTTCCAGATATGAAACACGTAACTCCTGTATATATGACATAAAAATAATTTTATGGTAATTAAACAGCCAATTCTGACAGATGAAAAAATGCATTCATCAGTAAGAAAGGTTTTAAACTAAAAGCTGAACACTGGGGGGAAAAAAAAAAAATCAAGTATTTCCCATGATGATTTCTGACAATTATGTTGGTAAAACTTCTTGTAAGCTAAGATTTAAAAACAAGACAAAGACCTGCAGGCCCAGGAAGACAGCAGCCCTAACTGTGCCCTCACAGACCCAGCACTGCTACCAAAGGCCTGTGACAAACTGCAGGTTTCCTACGGGCTGTTGGGAAGAGGAAAGCTCAGCATGAGAAGAGCTTGGTGCTGGGATCTGCCCCAGTCTGGTATCTGGAATTCTTCATAAAGCTCCACTCTTGGCTGCAGGTAACCAAGCGAGGCTCTCAGCATTCAGGAAGGAATGACAGGAAGCTCTGGTTCTGCTCTCCTGCTGCCCTCCCCAGAAGCTGCCGTGCCCCAGCACACTCACCCCAGGCACTTCCCTGAGAGGGAGCACATTTTCATGGGAAGTGTAAATCTAGCCACTGACTGTGGACTCAATGTGTAACTTGTTTGACAGCCTTTGGCCTAGTGCCTCATAGCTCTGCTGGCAAAGAAAACAAATCTGTTAATAAGATATTTTAACTGTGACAACAAGGAGGAGGAGAACTTTCCAAACATTCATTTATGATAATTACAGAATAATGATGGCAAAAAAACAGGTAAAACACTGAGAGAAGGTTGAGAGTGCTAACAAACATGATATAACACATCTGTTCTCACAAGGGATGTATGTCTAAAGATTAACATGTCAAAGAAAATATAAAAGCAGGTGGTAACAGCTTAACTAAAGCTGGTTTGCAGCGATACAAGTATTCCTGAGAGCAACATAAGAGAAGAGCAAGAACTTGAAACATTTTCTCAAGCCCAAATCCCTGTTGCAAGGAAAGTCAATACACTGCCTTGAATGTCTTCAGAGTGTCAGACACGCTATGCGAACACTGAATCCAACAAGAATCAAGTGTCCCCATCAATCAGAAACGGGACAGATCAATCCCATAAGGAACAGCATGCACTCACCACCCCACTCTGCAGCCTCTGCTTTGGGAGGGGTTGGACTGGATGACCTCCAGAGGTGTTTTCCAACCCTTATCTATCATAACCCTTGCAGTTCCGTGATCCACCCAGGTCCTGTCACCGTCCTCCAGGTGAGCAAACCCCCAGGAGCACCAGTGTGTGCCACCACAGAGCTGCCTCCTGGCCCAATGGCTGAGCGCCGCAGCCCCTCAGAATCAACAGGTCCTCACCTTTATCATCTGGGAGAGATCACCAGCATCTGCCAGCTCCAGAACAATGTTAAGTTCATTGTCTTCAATGAAAGAATCCAAGTATTTAATTATATTGGGGTGGTTCAGTTGCTGTAGATAGAGGGAGAGCAAGAAGAGGTATAACAATGCAGTCACAACTCCAAGATACACATCCTGCATCATTTCTGTAATTGTTATGCAAAGCAGTTGGTAGCAGATGCAACTACAAACCCTGCTCTGGGTTATCCTAGTAAAAAAAGTATGTCACAGAAATTCATTTATCAAAAGCACAGCATAATAAAGTGTGCTTGAAGAGCAACACAGCCCAGAAGGAAGCAAAGCTGCCCTTCCTCTTGTAAACACATTTTTAAAGCAGCGTTCTGAGAGAAACTTGGTAAGCAGTAACACCAGACATACAGCAACCCAACAAAACCACAAAATCAAGTACTGATTACAGGACTTCTTACTAAAAGCAAAAGTAGAATTCAACTAAAATTTGATGGAAGTAAAATAGTGTGCAAATTGCTTGCAGTACATTGGTCTATTTTTGCCATTGTTTATGCTTATATATTTGTTTCTTACTTTTATTTAAGAATAGTTTTTTTCTCATGGTATCTTTTTACCATCAATGTTCCTTAAAAACTTGCATCTACTCTGACTGTTAATTTACTTGCAGATCTAAATTAAGCAACTTGCTCAAATTAAAATTTATCTTAACATTTTATGTCTGGATTTCTTAAAATGGAAACCTGTGATTTCTAAGGAGAAAATGGAGAACCCGGGTTTCTCTCCTCACTCCCCCTTGCTCATTTTGCATTACATTTTCTTTCACTCGTGCTCTTAGATATGCAGTAAATTTAGAAACTACTGAAGTGAGCATTTCATCTACTAAACAGCTGTGACTCAACCTGCCTATTTCAGGGGTTACAAAGCCAAAAGAAACACTGTTACAATCCATCATGCTAATCAGGCTCTCTGCATGCACATTAGGGGATAGATTCTCCTCTGCGATGCCTCGACACTGGCGCACATTAGCACTAATGGGATCCATGTGCAGGCATCAGGAGAGGAGCATTCCCACCAGACACAGACATAGATAAATAAAGAAATCGCAGAGCCCATCGTCTCTGGGCAATTTCTCTCATGTGTCTGCCCTCAGATACATCAGTCTAAGATCAGATTCCAGGCAAGAAAGCACCAAAGCCCCAAGCAGAACAGGTACTGACACCCAATGTGCGTCAGGACGCCTCGCATCCATCAAACCAGCTCTCAGGGCACGGCCGATGGCAGGGCGCTGCACTCTGCTCTCGTAGGTAAAGCTAAGCCTCTGATTTGAGAGTTCTTTTCTGCCTTCTGTAGGACTTTTTGATGGGAAAACTCCGCTGAGCTCCCGGAGGCATCGCGGAGTTCATGCAGTCCAACAAACCCAGCTACAGCCCTCAGCACCACGTGCCAATAGAAGACATCAGACACCACACAGTGACACGGACGGCAGCCCGCACTCCTCCCAACTCCTGCCATGCTGGCACTTCTCTCTTCCTGCATTCCAGCCTCTGGTTTACCCCACACAACCAACCTCTAACGATGTTTAGGTCTGAGTAGTGTTAGCTATGAAGATTCATTTGCCTTCAACAACAAAAAATAAACAACCTGCACAGTAATGATTTGCATATTAAACAAGATACTAAAATGTATGCAGACTGTCAACAAATACTCCTGCTCTTCCCTTCACCCCAACTAAACAAATTTTTTGTCTGGTCTTCTCTAAGATATTGTCAAACAAACAACAAAAAATATTATCAGCTGGTATTTTTCCTCAAAACAAAACAATTGAAAAATAAAATTCTTACCTTCAAGAGGTCAATCTCTTTTATGCAATCTTGCCTGGCCTTGGCATCCATCATTTCAAAAATCTTCAAAGACAAAAAAGCAGAAGATTAAAGTGAGATGGTGACAAAATCCAAGAACTTATTCAACAAAGAACTGGTCTTTGCTTCCTGTCTTTGTACAGCATCCACTGCAATGAACGTACACACACACAGCCTGCAGACCACAGACAAATGTTTTCTTTATTTTGAAGCCACAAAGGGCTAACAAAAAGGTAAACTAACCTTAGAAGCTGTAGGCAATATTCCAAGCAGTGGGAGAAACAGTGCCATTCTGTTCACTAAACAGAAAGACTGAATTCCAGTGCTCACCTGAACTTTCTTTAATGCCACAGGTTTTCTGTCCAGAAGACAAGTTGCTTTGTAAACTTCACTGAACTGTCCTCGCCCGATCTTTTTCTCTATCTGAAAGTCTGCCAGTGTGCAGCGATACGGGTATGACGTTAAATGTCTCTGTAGGATGTAAAACAAATTACATCTTCAGCAGCCAGCCCCAGCCCCAGGCAGAGCCAGCCACAGGAGGATGCAGCTGCCACAACCTCCCAGCCCAGAGGGGTGCAGGTGGGAACAGAACCGAGCACAGGCACAGCTCCCAGCCCAGCCACTTCTACCAGTGCGGCACACACCAGTGTAAGGATGTCTTACAAGATGCATTCCTTGTACCAGACTTAGGGCTCCAGAGGACACAATAACACACTACCATAATGTCCATGCAATGCCTGCTAATTAAAGTAGGCACATAATTGGATATTTATCTCCAGGCCATCAGCGGCAGCTTTCTCACTTTAACTTCCCTAAAAGAGCAAAACCACTCCTCTTCACATGAAATGACACTCTGAGTAATTCTTTTTGAAACACCAATGCCACAAGTACATTTTTCCATCTAACATGACGAGCATTTCAGTACTTTCATACCATGAGAAGTGGTTTTCATTTCTCCAGGCAGAGAACAGCAGGATAAGAGCTTAATTTGCAGTTATGCATAAAGGCTGCTCCCACCGAAATGAGCAGCTCATTCCAGCATCTTCACTGGAACTGTTCAGGGAGTGCTCCCCTCCCCAGACACAGCTCAGCCCCCCGTGCCCTGCACAGCTCTGCTGCCCTTCAGCCTCCACACAGCTCCCCTCGAGTACTGTGGAAGTTGGAGATTCCTGCCTGGGAGGAATAAAGATAACACCTCTAATGAGATTTATGGAGCAGCTACAACAAAATTTTCTCTTATGAAAGAAACTCATACTAGATCAGGGATGGTACCTGTTTGCCTTTCATTAAACTGTGTGTTTACATCTACAGTGCCTAAGTGCAAATTAGTATTTGAAGCATGTGCCAAGAAATAGCTAGCAACTCCTTAACTTGAAAATGTAAATAAATGTTAGTCAAGTGACAGGATGTGTGCGTCCCCACCACTTCGCATGGTGAGCAGCTGAAGTCTGCTTGCCATGCTGGAGTTAATGCTGGGTGACGACTGGACACCTCAGCTGATATGTTCTGGCATCCTCCAGGACTACAGCTGCACATTTACATATGCAATGACCTAGATTTGCATTCGCTATCACAACCTATCAGACCTAATTAAAATAATGGAGCTTTCGTCCAGGCTGGAAGATGTTTGATTGCAGCACAAAGCAGAGAGCGTGCTCGGGTCGGGCCGGGCTGCAGCAGAGCTCCCTCCGGCCCAGGGCAGCACTGCTTTCCCATGGCTATCTGAAATCCTCCTGTGCTTTCTGCACTTCGATCTAAGCAGGTACAACATCACGTTACACATTCAGCACACCTAAGAAACACCGACCGTCTCAGAGCATCGCCCCTGAATCTGGCCTTAAGCACACTGCGCTTCTATCACGACTTCTGACAGAGGGGACTTACTATTTCCCCCAAGCTGAACCACTACAACTTTCCATAAAGCTGTCAAAGAACCAACACCTACTTGCTCAAATAAATTCTGACCTTTACTTCTGCAAATCTAAGAGGTTCCATACACAAACTGGATGTACAATTGGATAACACCATTATTTCCAGATCTATCTGTCAAAGCTAGATTTTCTCATTTTCAGATAAATTCAGGCTCAGGGAAGTGCTCATGTCTGTCTGAATACTGGAGGACCATGAGCCATCGAGGTCGATGATAGAGCTCAAAAGAAAAAAAAGGAAAAGAAAAAAAAGAAAAAACCCTGAAAAGCGAAGCCCCAGAACTGTAAAGACATTGAGAAACGTGGCTGTTTGCATATGTCTGCTGGGGCAGCTGGAGGAAGGGACAGGCTGGAAAGAGCTCATTCTGAGACAAAGGCCGTTCTCTTTATCCACACAATGAAATCTCATTTCTCCAGAACTCCATTAAAAAAAAAAAAAAGCCAAAGATTGGAGTCAATTAATTCCTCGTTCAAATAAAGAGGCTATTCATTTTTCAGAAGAAATGCAGAGATCACTCCAAGAACAAGCTATTCTGGACTACATCCCCAGCATACACGCTCTCTTTTAGATGTAATCAATGATGCAAAAGCAAGAATTTTGGAGCTCCCAGAAGTTATGGGGCGACAGCCCTCTGCAAACACTTCAGGGAGATGTTTGCCACAACTTTCAGCCCCAAAGGTTTTTTCTGCAAAGCAGCGTCAGCAAGGCTTTGTAATATAAAAAACAAAACAATGCAATAAAGACTTCCGTCATTTTACCTTGCACACCCCCAAACAGATACACCAAAGTGGCAAGAAATTAATGAAAGGCAAATGGGAGTCCCTACCTACCAGATTATTAAGACACACAGGCAACTGCAGAGAACAGCATTAAAAGAAAGAAACAATCCTTACTCTCAACATGCTTTTCTTTGATAGGACGCAGTGTCTACTCCTGCTTTCAGACTCTCAGGGTTGTCTGCTGCAGGGACACCAGTAACCCCTTGGGCTGTTTTTCCTGGTGAGAAGCTTCGCTTCCCTTCCAAGAGAAGTACTGACACGCGGCGATGCTCAGTGACTTACCTGGCTCTCCTCACTCAAAGACATAGAGAACAGGGCAGAGCTGCAGCCCCTCTGCTCTTGCAAACATGAGACCAATACATTTACCTCACTGTTATTATTTGAACACTGGGGGAAATCAGAGCAGTCCTGAGAACCCTCTCAGCAGCCCTTTCTGCAGCCACCACAGCAAAGCACAGCACCAAGAGGTGAGATGGAACCAAGATAGGAAGTCAGCAGAATGTTAGCAGAGCAGCACCTGTGGGACTGCTGCTCCTGGAGGGGTGGAAGAGAACACCAGCCCAAAAGTGCATGGGAACAGCCACTGCCCAGTGCTTGAGTAAATCCCAAGCATTAATACCAATTACTGATACATTCAGTTGTTTTGCTGTGTTCTGACTGCTCAGCAGTCTGCACAGGTGCTGCGAGGCTGCACGAGGCTTACATTATTCTTAATCAAGCTAAAAAATTGTTAAGGATTGGTTAATCAACAGTTAAAAGTCAGACACTACTGCCTTTCGATACTAATAACAGCTTCTTTCCTGTAGAGTCATGCAATGAAATACTCTTTAAAAAAGTAAAAAACATACTCGCCCAATTAATTTTCTGAAATCTCATTAAAAAATTTAGCCTGACGAAGTCATACAGTTCTGACCTGAATTTTAATTATCTTTATGCTGGATATAAGATTTTTTTCTGATATTTGCAATGCATCATTAATTTTAAAGCAACTGTTTCCTTGCTTCTAAAGTGCATACTTCATCTGAATGACATTTACCGTAAACTAATTTCACCTTTAAAAGACATCTGTGATAGGAGATGGAGAAGCTTTAGCCCCTACAGCTGAACACGTATACATTACAGGCAATGATTTACTATCAGCATCAGCATTTCAGAGCCTCTTTACGATGTCCCAAATTGTACACCCATCTCCACTCAGTAACGCCTACCTGAAAAGAATTTCATACACTTTGAGGTTGAAATTCCAGCGTGAATTTATGAGAACACTTTAGAGCAGATTGATTAAAAAAAAAAAAAGAACTTCTGAGCTCACAGGAGATGAGGAAACTTTTAAAATATGGATTATCCTTCAAACAGGCAGTCAAGTAATTACTGAAGAATACATCAGGTTTTGCATTCCGTGGCTTCAAAACCAGACTACACTACAGCATGAGGTATCCTTCACCTGAAATGTTACCCACAAGTTAAAGTTTGCTGAAGAACTTGGCTTGAATTTCAAACTTTTACCATCTCTATCAATGGCTATTTGTAGTAGTTCATGACAAGGAAAGAGAGAAATTCATACTAATGTGGAAATAAGCAAAGCAATTTGGAAAAACCAAAGAGCCTCAGCTGCTGGATGGCACATGACAGGCCATCTTAGGCCATCAGCAGAGAGGGGCCTGCCCTGTCACAACTTGTGTTCATTTCTAAACCACGCCTACTGCTTCTTCTAAAACAAACAAACAAATCTAAGCATGCCTCCCTAAAGTCCTCATCCTTCTCCAGACAATTTACTGCAAGAGTCCCACCACCACAGCCTGGCTGCTCAGAGCCTTGAGGGGAGGTTTCACTGCATGGTGACCACGCAGCAAAATAAGCACACTCAGCATCAGCACAACAGCAGCACGCAGATTACTAGCTACTAATTACATTTAACTATGTCATTACAAATTCTAACATGTGCTCCAAGATGCCATGAACGTATCTGCTACACAGGAACACTTCCTAATCTTGTTCATGAAATAATTACAGGGGCTCTATCCTGCCAAATGAGGCAGTAATTAACCCTAATTGCTCAAAATGCAACTGGCTAATTCTAGGAGATTAATCAAGGGGATTCAATTATTATTAAGTGACTTAATATGACAAATTGCTACATTAGGAGAGGGGGGCTTTGCTCCATACGATGTATTTCCAAGCAGCGCCGCGTAAGATGCACTCACTGCCACGCTGTACGTGCAGGCAACTCATCGTCACTGCAAATCCTTCGCTGGGCACAGACACAGCTTTCTGAACAGCCCTCCCTTGTCCCAGGAGCCACCAGCACTGCTGGCTGCACAGCCGGAGCACCCAAGCAGCACCCATGTGCCCCCCTCAGCGCGGCCCTACGCCACAGCTCCAATGCTCTTCTAACAGCTTCTGCTTTCTAACTTATCTGCTCTAAAAAAATAGCTTTGTGGTCTAAAAAAATGCAGAAAATACAGATCTTGTGATTCCATGAAAAGCCTCATTGCTGGATACAGGCTGGGGCTCTCTGCCCCAGTGCTGCAGGAAGGAAGGGGAGAGGAGGGATCCACTGCCAGGCAGGGTGGGAACAGAATCCACCCAACACATTGGGGTAGAAACATCCCAGGAACTCTGAATACAGAGATACAGAGCCTACAGCTTCACACAGAATGAACTTTGTCTGGTATTTTGTAACTACCTCTTCAGCATTTATTATGGAAGTATACAAGGAAATAAAATATTGTTTGTTTACATTTAAACACATGCTTTTTTTTCTTTGGCCTTTTCTTTAAAGAATCAGAGAGAGAAAGCCAACGCAATACATGTATTTACAGGCTGTTTTAAAAATACTTGCTCTAAGCAAAATGTAAAGTGTTTCCTTTTTTTCTTATCATCATCAAAAATTGGATTCAGGAAACTGGCTGGTTGGCAGCATCCCAAACTGGATATACCTGGCCTATAAACAGAGAAGGGGAAAAGAGCCACAGTGCTCAGAACCACAGAGGTTTTTGTGGAAAGAAGGGCAGAGAAGGGAAGGTGAGGGCTGGCTGTGCTCACCTGCGGGTCGTGCTGGAAGTCCTGGCCTGGCAGCTTGCAGAGCGCGCTGGTCTGGTCCCCCAGGTGCTGCGGGTGCTCGTGCTGCCCCTCCATGCCCACATGCCAAGCGCTGCTGGACCTGCGGGCTGTGAGCAGAGAGAGCCATCAGCACACCAGGAATGTGCACTGGGACACTGTCCATCCCCTGCCTCCCTCCTCTAATGCATGTAATTCTCCGAACCAGAGCAAAGCAGAGCCAACTGCCCCTGAGCAGCAGCTGCCAGGAGAAGATGAACCCAACTGCAAGCACGTCTGCATGCAAGTGGAGGGAGCACAGCACCAGGGCAAGCTGTGCCAGTGCTCCTGAGAGTGCAGGGTAAGAACAGCTGTATCACAAATACTATGGGTGTAACTTCATAATAAGAAATACAGCAGTTTATTCACTCTCTGGTACGCTACAAAAGACTTAAATATGAAATCTAACAGCAGTGTCACTTCTGCGGACACCTTTGCTAGGCATCAGGAACTCATGGTGGACTGCAGTGTGCCAGCTTCCCTGGTTCTGAAGCACCAGAGCAGTCCTCGCAAACCAGCAGAGCAAGCTATAAGCTGGCAGAACATTCCCTGTGCTGGAGCACAGTGGTACCCAGCCCTGGAAGATTTCCAAACAGACGTACATTGCTTGCTTCTAAAGCATTTAAAGCTCCTTGAAAATCTGAGGCATGCGCAATCAGCGAGGCATGCGCAGGGCAAGGAGAAGGCAAGCTTTCCCCTACATCATGTTTGTTAAGTTCTGTTTTAGGATCTGCATCTTCCAGCGTCCTGCAATACTTTATCCTTTACATTCAACATGAATCCCACTCTCTCTGTGTTCTTCCAGAGATGGTAAAACATAGTTCAGACACAGAGAATACCCAAAACTTCCCTTATGATTCTTATGCACTTGGTAAGCCAGGAATCATAGTTGCTATCTATTTTGTTACAGACTCAGGAGAGACGCAGGAGCTGACACGCCTCAAGTCGTTTGGAAGAGCAAAACAATGCCCAGGTGCTACCCAGAGCAGGACGGTGCTCGAGCACAAGTGCATGCTCCATAAACCCACATCTGGAAGCATGAGAAGGCCTCTGCTGAGGACATGGGAACTGGAGCGCTCCGCTCTGCATTACAGCCTCATTACCCAGCAAAAGGCCTCAGCAGGGGAGAAAAGAATCCCCCAAAACTATCAGGCGGAGAACCTAAAGTAGGCTCATCAACAGTGAGGAGGGATCTCGGCAAAAAAGCAGATTCACCAACTTCACTCTGACATCACCCTTCATACCTGATGGAGACCAACCCAGCAACCTCTCCAATTTAAGCACAAAGATCTCATTTTGGAGCTCAGAGTCACGACGCAAATTGAAACGTAGCCTCATTCATGCTGCACACAGCACAGCAGAGAGCTGCGAAATCCAGCACCTGTAACACAAACCCCCCCATCGCATCCTGCGCCTCCATCGGAGCAGTTATTCCTCAGCATGACAACACCGCACGTATTTTGAGCTGTATTATAAGAGAGAGCAGAAGCCTGCAGGCAACAGGAAGAGACAAGCGCTCGGATGGGAGGTTGAAGAAGGATGCCATAGCCAGCACCAGGGCAGCAGCAGGTTTTGATGCCATGTGGCACTGTGACCTCAATGGGCAGTGCTGCTTCCAGAGAACAAAGCCTTCAGTGTCACCCAACCCAAGCCTGCCCCGGGACACAGCCTGGCTGGGCTCTCCGCTACGCAGCACTTTCAGTGTGCACTGCACTGCTCCTGCAGCAACGAGGACCTGGCTGTGGGAGCAATGCCAGCCAAGAAATGCACTCCACACAGATGCAGCACATGCACAGTAAGCACACCGATGTCCTTCCCCATCCAACAGGATGCTGTAGATTTTCTGTGTGATTAAGGAATGTTATTCCTAGCTAAATATTCATCATCCACACACGTTCTAGGGGAGATCCATTTTAGAGCTGCATTGCTGCTGTCCCTAGCACTGACAAGGCAATGTTTAACAGCAGCCCCAGCATTTTCAGAACTTTGTTTCAAGAGTTTTGGCAAGCATTCACTCAGCGAGAGCACAACCTGATCTCATTAGTGTATTAATAGTGCACGCCTGGCATCTGAGCAATGACTAATTCTTAATTTAAAATGCAAAGGTATTTTAAATATTTGGGGGAGGGGGGGGTGAACGGGGAGAGAGAAAATACGATGCAGAAGAATTCCTGCAGCAAGTCAGGCTCAGCTCTTCTCGCAGTTGTCAGCAGTGCCTGAGGTAGCCGTGCCGGACCCTTCCAGCAGCAGCTCCTCGTGGGCTGCAGCAAACAGAGGCACACGGCCGCAGGGGCAGCTGCTGCAGGAAAAAGCGCTTCTGAAAGTCAGTACTCGGCAGCTCTGCTGCAAGCAGGACGGCCACTATTAGCACAAAGATGTTCGGTTTTAGTTTTCCTTTAGTTTCAGGTATCTGACGATTTATTAGCAGCAAAGGTGAATATTTAAAAATGAAAAATGTGTCTCAATATCAATATTAAAATGTCCTATGAAACTGCTACCCTCTGTTACACTGCCCAAACTTTCCAGCTGCCACGGGAAACTCCAGGCTGTGTCACTGTGAGGGCTGAGCCAAGGAAAGGCAGTCAGCATCTCAGGGCAGCACAAATTCATCAGCTGGAGAGTCTGGGTTTGATCACTGTTTGTTTAAGGCACTGCAGCTGGAAGCAAAGGAAGCAGTAAGAACCAAATATCAGCTCTGAAAAGAGATATGCACAGCTCACATGACAGCAGCCCGCTGACACCTACAGGACAGCGTGTCCTCCTGAGCCCAGCCCGGCTATTCTGGGCAGCTGGCAGCACCGTGGAGGTGCCGGGATCCTCGCGAGGTCGGCACCGCAGGGCCTTCATGACATCCACAGAGCTGCATGCACTGCACAGCACAACCCTACGTAACGCCTGGCTTTTGGAGAGCCGTGTCACACAACCTGGGCATTAAGTTATCCTGTGGATTCCAACAATCAGCAAGACACATTTCCTTGCAACTCATACAAGTGCTGAATGAGGCACAGCACACCAAAAGCCATGGAGCTGGATGACTTCCCCAAGGAAAGCACAAGTGCCAGTGAATGCACAGATCCCACCTGTGAGCAGTTACTTGCAGCCCCACGCGATGGCTCAGCCAGGTGACAGCATGCAGTAACACTGCATGCCAGGCTGCTATCAGCTGGTGATGAGGTGTCCCTATTACTCTTTGAAAGGTTGGAAGGAGGTTAAAGAAGCAACAGCAAGGTTTTAGCAGCCTCTTCTCTTGAGGAAAATAGTTGTTTATACTTCGGTTCTGGGTTTCATGTGATCTGATTTATTTCTTCAATGACAAGATCCTTTTTGGAAGCGGGAATGCTTCCCTCTGCGCCAACACAACAGTACCAAAATCAGAGGGATCTCTTGTGAACACAAAACACACCAGAATTCCCCACTGCTGAAATACTGGCACTAGCTGTACAATACATTGTGACCACAAAGGGGCAGGTCCTATGCTGCTGAATGTGCAGCCCGTGTCAATATTTGCAGAGATGTCAGTGGTGGGGACAGTCTGTCTGCACCTGAAGCACTGGGAAAAAAACAGCTTCTGACTACAATGGAAGGAAGAGAAAGGCTCCCAGCTGGACCAGCACCCAACTTGCAATAAATTCATCTTTGAGAAAATGTACCTGAGCTCACTGAGAGCTGCTTTGCTTCTCCCAACAGATCCGCACCCTTCTGGGATGTCCCAGGGCTGTGCGCACCTCCAACCTGCTGGAATGCCCTCCAGCATCACGACAGATGTACACAGCTATGTATGTATGTATGTGCTTTTCCACTCAGCTGCTCCCCCACACCTCCCTCTCCCAGTCCCCACACAGCCCTATCTGGGTACCCAGCATAAAGCACAATCAAACGTGTCCTCGCATCATCCCAGCAACCCATGGGCATCAAACCACAGCCCAGAGCAGCACTGCCCCAACCCCCGCAGGGGCAGGAAGGCTGCAGGGCTGCAGGGCAGGCCTGGCTGTGGGTTCAGGGTCCCTGGGGGCAGAGCTGCAGGGTTTGCTGTCCCACCAGCACAGCCACACCAGCAGCGCTCCTCCTCTCTGCTGCCCAATAATGTTCTCTCCTGCCTGCTCATAAAATAAATCTGTCAGGATGCTGTATGAGATTACCTATATATTTAAATGATGATCTTGGCTCATGATTACATTATCGCTGCAGTTCAGGGTACGTGCTGTACTGAAGGCAGCCCAGTCCTGGGAGAGTATTATTTCCGAGTGACTTTTATTGTCCATTATCTTACGCCATTTCTGTCACGGCTGTGATGTCTGGTAGGAATAGTTCACAACAGAAATATCTCAGTCGTTAGTATTCTCATTGCAATTTAGGCAGATCAACCTTTAAATCTCATCCATCATACTGAAGAGCTTTGGCAAAGCAAGCGCAGCCATGCACGCCGTGCAGAACCTCATTACAGGCTGGGTTCAGCCGCCTGCCCCATCCCTTCTGCAGCGCCAGGTGACGCAGCCCTGCAGAGCCCCACTTCTCACTCTCCCTTTTGCCTGGTGGGAGGGCACGACCCGCTCCTCGCGGCAGACTGCTTCTGTCTGGTGTGTGACAAACTCACTTGAACCCAACAATTAAACTTCTGACAGTGTTTCCAAAAGCAGGGAGTATTTACTGTAAATGCTTGACAATTTTTTTCCTCTCCGCTCATCTCTCTCAGTCACCTTATGATGACTGGAAATTACCATAAGCAAATAGCAGTCTAACATCCAAAAACCCCTCGTGGTAATGTGAAATACACACCTGCCAACACTGGAAAAAAGCCCCTATAAATACAAATGCTAAAGGAAAAAACACAGGGAATACCACTGAAATGCACGGGGCAGTGAAGCAGTGCGGCATGGGGAGGACTTGGGAAGGAGCATCCCATGGACTGCTGCTGTCCTACCGCCCGTCCAGGCTGCGTTGAGAGGATTAAGGCACAAATTCTGCACAAATGCAGTTGTGCCATCAGCCAGGAAGTCAAAATCCTAGGCTTTGTGTTAAGAGGAAACTGTATCTACATATACAGCAGCAAATGTAACAGAGCATGAATATG